AATTTTTGTCACATATATTGTGGGTTTTAAGGTTTTTTTCAGTTCCCACAAAGAGTGCAAATAATTTACCTGTGCTAATGATGTCATCTGGCAACTCATCTCCACAAAACCTGGAAAAAAAGGAAATGCTGATGATTAAAGTATGTAATATACTATAGTATGTCTGGTATATAGTATACACTATAGTATATATAATATATATATAGTATATAGTATGTAACATGCTATAGTGCATAGTATATAATATACTACAGTATTTATAATTTCTATTGTATATAGTATGCAATATACTGTAGTATATATAGTATATATTATACCATAGTATACATGCCATATAATATATAATATATTATAACATATAGTATAGATAATAGATAGTACACTATAATATATGGTAGAATAATAATAATAATAATAATAATAATAATAATAATAATAATAATAATAATAATAATAATAATAATAATAATAATAGTAATGATAGACCATTAATATCGTATTATTAATTATTGCATATTATAATATATAGTATATATCATATATACAGTATATATATTATACCATATATAAGATAGTATTTATTACAATATACAGTATAATATATATTATTTTATTATTACATCATCATTACATATTATTAATAATAATATAGCAGTAACAGTATAATGCTATTAATATAGTATTAATAATTATTGTATATTGTAATATATAGTATGTATAGTATATAGTATATATAATATAGAGCATATTATAGATATGTACTAGTATATAATACAGTATATAATAGTATATAATAGTATATAATACTAGTATATAATACATAGTATATAATATACTATGTATTATATATATTATGGCATATATACTACAGTATACCATATACTATATACTATAGACTATATACACTTTATACTATATATTATATATTATATATTTTATATTATATATTATATATTACATGCATCACATAAATTTTAAAATTTATAATTAATAAACAGCATTAATCTGCAGGGGGGTACAAATTTACCATAAATTTGCATATCAAATATACTTTACCTGCCCACAAACCCATTGACATCATCGTAGCTGTCGTAGACCTCCAGGAAGTCCCCCTGGCAGGCAATGTCATCCTCGACGTCGAACTCCAGGAACTGCAGGTGGATCCTCTGCCCGTACCGGACCCGGATGTGCCAGTAGCACACCTGGTTGTTCTCGTACTCGTTCGGGTAGCCTGGCGACTTGAAAACGTGTTTGGAATCTGTGAAGACTCCTCCACACTCTTTTCCTAAGGGGGAGGTAAAAGCAGGGAGAGTTGGTGTTTTAATTCTGGCTGTGGTTTGATTCTTCAGGCACTTGGAGCTGGAGATCTGCAGGGAATCACACAGGGACATCCAGAGCGACAAGGATTCTTGTGGATGGGCTTAGCAGCTGCTCTGCAGGCCAAACAACTGAGTTAGCAGCAGAAGAAATTGATAAAATATTAATTTATCCACAGCAAGGGAGAAAGCAAGGCTGTTAGCAGGGAAACTGATAAAATAGATACACAAGGGATATTTGCAGCCTTAGTGAGCAGCATTCGTGCCTTAAAAATTTGTTACAAATTCCTGCCAATGAATTATTGACATTAATTTTGTATCAATAAAACACAATAAGCTATTGCTTTGTCCATTGAATATAATGAGCTAT